CTGTAGATGTCATCCCTTCCTGCTAGGAGCATGAGGCAGGCATGACCAGATGCCAGCTGTGAACAGGAACCACTTTCACTTCCTGCTAAAAGCAGATCTTGTTTTACCCGCTCTTAGAGATTGGCACATCGTGGTCCCAGGAGAGGGGGGAGCAGTGCTGGACTGGATGCCATGAAGTTGTCCCAGGGCCTTGTCCCAGGCTTTCAGCAGCATTTGGCTCTTCTGAGTGGGAATTGAACAGAGCCAAAGGCTACACCTTCACATGTCTGTCTCTGGGTCAGATGCCAAGAGAGCCCGTGTGCTGTGGTCATTCCAGCAATGCTCCGGTGTCTGTGTCTTATAGCCGTGAAGTGAGGGTGGGAGGCATCAGAGTGACATGGAGCTCAGTCACTCTGGAGGAACAAAGAGTAGCTAGCTCTTGGTGGTAATGGTAGACATGCCCCTTGTAGGAGGGGAAGGCCGCCCTGTGGCTAGAGGAGATGACACCACTGGCAGGTGAAACATGAGACTGCTTGGCCACTGGTGAGATTTGTCCCAGTACCTCTGCCTCCTGGTTTTCCCCATTGCCTTCCTCATCTGCTCAGTGACTGATTAATTCCTCCTTCCACCTATCTACCCACCAGCCCATCTACCTATCTGTATGTCCAACATCCATCCACCCATCCATCTGCCCACCCATCACTAATATCCATCCATACATCTACCATGCATCTATCCATCTCATCCACCTACCATTGATCTGTCCATCTACCCAACTATCCATTCATCCATCTTTCCATCCTCCATCTGTCATTTACCATATAACTATTCACCATCCATACATCTCTCATCACTCATCCAACCATCCATCCATCTGCCCACCCATCACTAATATTCATCTATCCATTCACCCACCATCCATCCATCCATTCACCCACCATCCATCCTGCATCTATCATCCATCATTCACCTACTTGTCTACCATCCAGATCCATCTATTCACCCATCCATCCATCCATCCATCCATCCACCATTCATCATCCATCAAATCACCCATCACCTATACCCACCCACCCACCATCTGTCCACCCACCTACTCACTCATCCATATCCATCTATTTATCTGCCCACCCACCCGACCACCATCCATTATCCATCTACCCAGCCATCGGTCTGTCCATCCACCCATCCATTGAGGAACACTGTCTTCTAAGCATGACATGGTGATTACTGTCTCGAAATCAGAGCAGCTGTGATTACTTGCATGTGACTCTCAAAAGTTTGGTTCTACTAACATTCCTTTGGGAAGGGGAGGCATGAGGCGATGCACAAGACCATGCTTCTCTCTGAGGGTGTAAGTGGTCAACTATTGCTGGCGGGCATGACTCTTCCTGTTCAATGTAGCCACCTGTGAGTTGTACTCCTGTAGCCTAAGTTAAACTAATTGGTTTGACAAACTAGTCTTTGGTCTGTCATTGTTGTCCTATCTGGGGTGAAGAGACATTTATTCAAGTCTCACCAAGAATTAACACAACACCCACCATTCATCCATCCATCCCCCATCCATCCATCCCTCATCCATCCCCCATCCATCCATTTCTCTCTCCATTTACCTTCTTACCCATTCATTCACCCATTCATCTACCCACCAACCAGTCAATCATCTACTTGTCTGTCTGTTGGCTCATCCATCCATCCATCCACCTGCCCACCCACC